ATGGCCGCACTTTCGTTCAAAATCTCATGATTGTAAGTSAACACACGAAACCTTTAAYATTATCACACAAATTCATCAGCACCTTCCCCGATTTCCAGTTTGTCYAGATTAACTTTSATTTTRTCTCTTGYYTTCATTTGATTAAGTGTCGCTACAAGTCGCGAATTAGTCGCGTCGAGTGACTTAATTCGTTTCTCTTGCGCTTCAATGATAACTTGCTTYGCTTGYAGCATCTCTTGCATCTCTTCTCGCTCTTTTGCCAGTTCGTTCTCCATATTGACAAGCCTATCTAGCAAATCTTTCACCTCCTTTTCTCTTTCTTCGCGCATCTTTTTGAGACTTTCTTCCGTTGCTGCAAGGCGTTCCTTGAATGATGCTGCAAGAACATGGGTACTRGACTCCTGTAGAATAAGCTGTTCATGCGTAGAAGCCAGTGATTTTTTGGTTTCCTGGAGTTCGCGGGATAATTCCTTTATTATTTCCTAAACAATTTATTACAAAACTGTTAATTTGGGACTCGGCAGCGAGTCTGTAAATCATGATTTTGCTGAAGAACTGCTGATGTTCTCTCAACAACGTGTTCTTTGGTTATTATCAAACACGGAAATACGCGTTATATTTCAAAACCATGGATTGTGACCTGTATAAGTATAATTTGTCAACATCCCTCACAAGAGTGCTACTAAAGTATCATCTAATCATACCTGCACCTTAATGTTATTTAAAACTTCCTTCCAGATAATTCTTGCCTGGTCTAGTCTAGTGATAATAAACGATTTGCAACATTCTCCGATATAATATTACCTCGTTTGATCGATTTGGTCCAGATACACTGTTATCTCKATTGTTTTCCTCTGTTTTTGACCCTGTGGTTGAACTATAAAAAGAGAAATAGCACTATCAGTACAACAATGTCGCGTCCTTGTTGAGAGCTTTTTACACGGCTGTAAAATCTTCAGTGCAAACTAAGGCTCTAATCGATAGTAGAAATGTTTTGGCAACACCAACGTACTCTCAGGATCTCTGTGTGGTGCTCTTTTCGTATGGGAATAAGAACCAACCGTGCCATTACGGTTACGTAAGGAATTTGTAATCTTCTGCGGGAATGATGCAGTCATTGTATGGTCTGTTGAGCCCGCGCACTTTTACGCACGTAAATTGATACCTTCATCTCATTAATATGCCCTTTTTTCGATATCCTTTTAGTGGCCAGATTAACGAGGTTTTACTAAAAGCTATTCTTTCATAGATACCGTGGTTTTAATGCTACTGAAAGGAGAGAAAGTCTGGAGTATGCGAAGGAAAGTTTTTACGTACAATCTACGTAYGTGTGTAATGCGTCTAACGCACGTAACTTGTTAGCGCCACGMAAGTTATTACAAGGTGTAGAGATACTTACTTCGAATCTCTGCGTGGCGATTGTCGACCTGGTGTCGACGGAAGAACATGTCTTCTTCGTCCTCTCTCAATGCTACCACTACCAAAACTAGAACTTCTCCAACTCCCACTACTCCCACTCGAACTACTACTCGTTGCCGATGGAGTACGAGCTATATTCTTGGGGGAGTTTTTGTGCTCGGAGTTGACTCGGAGCAATCTCGGAGATGGCTGTGGAGTTCTTCGCTGTGGTATTGGTGACGACGCGGGGGAGCTATGATCCGAGTCCCTCTCGGTTGGTCCTCTTGTTATACTATCAATGATCGCCAAAGGGGACGCTTTTCGTGAGGTCCTTGGTGAACTGGTGCTCGGCTGTAAAGTACGCGAACGGTCCGTTATCACTGGTGACGTCCTTGTCCTTGGGGTAGTCTCCAGGCCTCTAGTGGGCGTGTCAATCGCTAGTGACCAGGGTCGCTGACGCGAAAGTTTGCCGGGTACTTCTGATAAATGACGTGAAAGTTCAAGTTTWGAGAGACTGCGAACGCCTTCTCCACTAGAAAACGTGTCGTGACTCTCYGCATCACTRYTACYTCTATTATATGAATTTTGAGAATCCAACTTCATCTTCCGAACTTTCTGTTCTATTATCGCGTTGGTTTCGGTAAACCTTCGTGGAGTCGCTATCTCGTCGTTTACAGCATTCAAGTACGAATGACGCCGAAGATGTGACGAACTGATAGTCGACGACAAATCCTCTTTCTCGTGATCAATGCCTAACAAGGGAGATGAAAACCGACGATTCTCGAGATCGTACGGAGATGCTACGATGATATCTTTAGGATCGACGACTAAATGGCCCGGAGTYGGGAGAATTCGTKGTGATTTTCGTGTGTTCGGCCGATAMTCGGGCGTTTTTCGGCTTGGAGTCGGAGAGTCGTCGGGTCGCTTATTGTGTTTGTGTACAGGTGTTAATGTGATATCGTTGYTCTCTTCGTTAATCAGATCTGACGACGAAGCCCATTTTCKTGGTGGTGCCGAGTCAATTTCGTCGGCATTGAATTCTTTATAAGCATCTTCTAATGTATCAAGAACAACTTGGAGAGATCCCAGTTTGTCTTTCGATCCCTTGAATGAAACATAATGAGACATCACTTAATACACTTCACCAGTTGTTCTTTCCACCTGATGACGTCATGTATGTTTGCGCGAAATGCATCATGGTATTGCTAAAATTACCAAGATGGCGGATGTTTTATAAACTACTCATGACGAAGTTTCTTTGCGAAATTAAAACTGATTCAGAAGAAGCTATCATATCATAAATGTACACTGTATAAGGTACAAAAATATTACTCAAAACAAAACGTTTTGTTCCCAAATACAGGACTTCAATTTGTACATTCATCAATCCCATAATACATTTCGAGTAACATGGCATGACGTCATTATACAATTTCTTTCTTTCTCCTTTAYATATAAATATTCAAAATGGCGACCAGGTTTGTAAAAATCTCGTTCATACCTGGTCGAGTTTGCTCATTTGTTCCTTAAGTGTTGTGTAAAGCACGCTGAGTTCTCTGCCATGGTCTATACCAGCGTCAAAACGGTTTTCTCGTCCCTCTGGTTGAGCCTAAATTTAAGTCCAAAACATACAATCAGTACAGGTCGAAGGATTAACGTCCGAAACGTCAGTAAGTTATTTCACATACTTCTTTTACGGTGTTAAATTTATCTTTTTACACAACCGTTTCTTTAGAAACACCAACGCAGCTCACACTAGTTTACCGCTAGTTCCCACCATCATACAATCAGTACAACGCATCCTCAAACAGACTTGTGATTAATAATAGTTTATTAAGATTATGTTGTACTTTAAAAACTAAATTCAGATTATCGAATCGAAAACACATTATGTAGAATATACAATAAAAAATGCAGAATATACTACAAGGCTTTCTTACCGAAATGGTTTCCAAAAAGTTCTTCATTTGTTCGAAATTGTTTTCCACAAACTCGTTCATGAATCCCATGTACTCCTCTTTGCCTCCAAACCTGAATAACATAAGGAATGTTTTTATAATTYAACCATTGTGTAGCGACGCCATTTTGTGCAGCAAAGCATTATGGGATGGATAGCCATCGCACTATTTCATATCCTTTAAAATCACCCCTAAAGCTCGTTTCGGCGTCTTTTTATAAAGAAATGGCAAAACAACTCCCATTTGGATACGAAAAAGCCTGATAGGCCACTTTGGCGGACTTAAAAAAAATAAGTAAAAAGTACGAAGACTTCATCTTCCCATTATGCTCTGTTAAAAAAATATTGCCGCTGTACATCGTCATTGTAGTCACCGTTTTGCTGATATTTTTCACTTATCAATGTACCTTGTAAAATTCGCTAAGTTTTGAATGACTTTAGCGATAAGAGTCAGGGTTCTTGAAGTYTTCTCGTTGGGATACTCTATAAGAGGCACAGAACAGGATGAAGTAGGCATATGTGAGATTGTATCGGTTAAAATTTAATATGTAAGGGAGGGGAGAGTGAACAAACCTTGGACTAAATGRAACAAACTTGGTGATAAGATGGCGGGGCATAAGAACCGTAGAAAAATAGACGAGCTGAAAGAAAATAAAAAAGTAGTTAATTCTTCTTGCTTTTAAAATATAAAATAAAATGATTTCAGAATGTCTTTTCAAACAAATTATAGAACATTTTTTATGTTGTATTTTCATATACCTTATTAAATTATTGCTCAATTCTTTGTTTCTGTTGGCGCAACGTTCTTGGAACTTATAAAAGGTCTCTTGCAGATCTCTAGAAAATATTTTAAAAATATTTTAAATATAAAAACTTTATAAATAAAAAAATTCCATTTTAAAGTTTTAAAAACTTCATCTCCAAAAGCAGCCGAGACTTAGCATCAAAGCGAGATCGAAGCCCGCAGTGGTAGATACCTTGTTTCAAACATATTCGCAATCATTCATATGTCTGTATCATTGAAACCTTAACGAGGTCTAACCACTGTCTCGCTTTGGTGCAAAAGCTCGGCTACCTTTCAAGATGGCGCTGGGATCTTTAAAATGTAGTATTAGGAATGGATTTGGGGGACAAACTGTACACGATGAATGAACGAAAGTTGACTGATATACATATGAATTGTTGAATAATTAGGCGAGCAAATTGCAGAGTTTTTTTCAGTTTTCTTTCAAATGAAAGGGTTTAATGAATGATCTAACATTTTTCAAATACCTCGGAAAATACTGGGATGAGTTCACAATGTTTAGCCAAGCTTTCTCGACGAATGACTTCAAACTGTCTCTCTTTCCTTCTAAATTTCCTGTAGATGACTTAGACGGATCCACCTGACAAATAAGATCACGTGACGTTTAGATCACGTGGTGCATTAATGTCACATGACATGACAAAGACCAATGTGACCAAATAATGTTTATTCAAATATTAATTAATACGTATTTTCAAACAAATCTAATGTCATTTGTGAATGGAAAGTTCACAAATAAACTAAACTTTTAATGAAACTTGCCTCGCAGTCTTCGTTTGTGTTGTAAACAGACACAATAAAATTACCCAGAGTTTCTTGCAAATACTGAAGAAAATAAATTGAATGGACCATTATAAAGCTACAATAAATCTGATAGAGATTTGCACTATAATAATAATAATAATAATAATAATAATAGCTGTTATGACGTCATCAAAACTAGCTGTTATGACGTCATCCAAAATGATGATATAAGATCATCTCGGTCTGTTATGACGTCATCTTATATGGCTGTGATGACGTCATGTAAATACCAATTGTGACGTCATCTAAACTACCTTCGATGACGTCACTAAAATTGTTATTTTGACGTTAAGATATGGTCATGCGTACCGATTCTCCAACCATTTTCATGTAGGTATCCATTGCTTTGGTGGCAAAAGAGTTTCCCCGGAATATCAAATTTTCGTCCGCTAATGAAATCAAGAAAAAAAAATTTAGAAAGGAAGGGAATTGAAAAACAGTAGAATGGTCGGTAACAGAAATGATAGCGTTGCCAAGAGCAATGTTGCCAGGACGACAATAGAAAATCAATGATAATCTTTCGTTTAGTTAGCGTCCTACCGAGTTTGTTGACTTCATTCATGACGATATTCACCAAGAATTCTCTTGCTTTGCCGATKGGCTCCAAAACTCGAAGAATGACACCAGCTATCTCATCCTGTCAATCAAAGTATCTAGTGAATCTCTCCTAAACACTTTATCAATGACTGATTTATCACGTTCATTTCGGTCATTACTTAGCCATTTCAGTTACATGTAGTAGTATTAGTGCGTTGTTACGTAAGATATACGTCGCTACGTAATATATACGTTGTTACGTAAGATTTATATTGTTACGTGAGATACACCTTTACGTTTCTTACGGAAGACATATGCTTTTACATGATATTTCCGTTGTTACGCAATATATTTTACGTTAGACATATATTGTTACGTAAGATATACGTAGCTTAAGATGTATGTTGTTACGTAACACAAGATACCTTAACTTTCGAGCTGACAGCCGACTCCATCGTATCACACAGAGACATATAGTTGTCTTTAATGTACTGCAAACGCAAAATAAAAACATTCTTACAAGATATTAAAGTGTTTTGGGGAAGAAAGGGAGAAGGTCTGTAGCGGAGACGTCTTACAAAGAAAACATTTCCCATTCGAAATGTCGTAATGACAGCGATAATTTTTGAGAATTTTTGGTAGGACGYCACTATTGTAAAGTTGGAAAAAGAAAAAAAATATAAGAAAAATTAACGAAACATTTTATAATTTTACTCACCGATAATATTTCACTATAAGCCTTTATTGGTAGAACACAAACCCTCTAGATGCAAAGTAAAAACAATTTAGTTTTAAGTAAAATATCTCACCACACAGATTTCTCAAGTGACATCTTGGCGTGATATTGAAACATATTGCGTGACAATGAGAAATGTACCTGGTACTTGATTTTCAGTCGAATACTAGGCGTTTCGCCATTGGCTGCCTTACTGGTTGTCAAGGTGACAGGAAACCATTTTTCAGTTTCTTGGTTATTGTCCAGATCCTCGACGAGGACATCGACGCTACCTAAAACCAACATAAACACTCAACTATAAGACAAAAGAATGGCGGGAGGGAGGGGTAGAAGGGGAGGGAGGGGGATTGGGAAAGCATGGAGGATTTATGGATGCGAAAACATGAGGTAGATATAATATACAATTAACTATAAGAACTACCTACCGATAATTTTTCTTTTGCCTTTCTTGTTCTTCGAATCACTATCTTTGTAAATATTTACCGTGAGTTTCGCAAAGTCTGGCAGATCACTAAATCAATAACAAAAAAAACATATCAACCAGATGATTCAATCTTTTCCAGTTTGCTTAATCCGTGAAACAAATAGCAAAGGAGGCTAGTTCACAGGAAATTTACTGAACATGTGACTTACTCAAAAACAAAACTTTCTCCCCAGAAAATGCTTTCAGTTTTAGTCTTGGCAGTTGTCCTTGAAAACAGGTTCTTGTCAAGAAGAACYTCGCAATAGTACCTAATGAATACAGACAATAGACTGAATTTTACAGAAAGAGTACACTAAAATCGTGCAACGAAATGCATTGAAAAAAAAATCCAGTTCACAGATGCAAGATGTCAGTCATTAATCTACACAAATAGCATGGATAACAACGACATAAAAAAAAACTTGAACGACAACAACAGCAACAACATCAACAGTAATGTTACCATCAACAATAACGACAATTACACGACAAAAAAAACTGCAAAAGCAATACGGCTGAGTACTGATAACAATGGCAGCCACAACGATATGTACCAGTAGCCTGCGACCGAAGCGCCACGTAATGAGGAAGGCAGGAATGACGTTTACGTGTTGGGCTGCCTGTGTCATAAAGGAAGGTTCAAGTTTTACCTTTTCTTTGTTTTGATAGTCAAGCCCTTGGCGTCCAGGATCCACAGCGTCATTCCAACATCTGTCCTGTGTTGCTTATCGCGCGAAGGTTGAATTGACTTTTTAATACTGAAAAAATATACATGTCAAATTGTATTAAGAACCTCATTAAGTGACCATCAATCCTATTTCCTTGAGCGACCGTATTAAAAAGGTTCGCATTGTTTAATTTCTTTTAAGAATCCACTGTGTAAATTGGTCTTTTCGAACTAATGGTCGATATATAGAGGTAGTGGTAGATTCAAACGGAGAAGACTAATGGCCGACCCGATATATTTCTTTTTTGCTTTAGCGATCGTATTAACGAGGTTCTAAGTGGTCGCATTATAGAGGTGGTWTTTAATTACCTATTGATCCATTTATTCAGTTCGTCAGCACTTCGACAAGAAAAATACTTGACCTCGTTCGGCGACATGACCTGAAAACAGAACTGCCTGTGGAGGATGCTGGGATGGATTGACCGCACGCTGACTTTGCCTGACACCGAAAGGTCCATAGAATCCTGGGAATTCAAAAAAAAAATGTCTAACAATGCATAGAATATAGAAAAAACAGGAGAATAAGGAAATAAAAGGCACAGGAATAAAGAAAATGTTAAATCCAAAGTAATAACTTAATCGGTAAAATTGTGAGCAAATGAACGCACGTGGGGGGTCCTATGGGGACTAAATTCGACATTCAAACTAAAATGTCTATATTCTYGAGAAAGAGGGGTCAAGGTTATTTTTGAAATATTATATATAGCTGTCAAAGGGCGATTAAAAGTCCTGTCGGTTTTAATAAATTGTGGCAATATTTTCCCATCCAAAGCAATACTTTCGTTTCTATTAAATAAACATGTTGGAAGTTGATTTCATCAAAAATTGAGTCTTATACATATACACTGGAAAAAATCGTTCACTTTAAAAGGTTGTGAATTTGATGTAAATATTATGTAAGTGTCCAAAATGATGTAAATTTGATGCTTAAATTTGATGTAATTTTACATCAAATTTACAACATTTTGGACATTTACATAATATTTACATCAAATTTACAACCTTTAAAGCGCGCGATTTTATCCAGTGATATATCGAATCAAACCCATAGAGACTTTCGGTCGTGTATTCTCTGATCTCATAGACTCGTGCGCCGTGTGATGCTAGCTAGAACAGTAATGGAACCAAGACCAAGGGTTCAAAGATAACACACCAAAAATCATATGAGACAATAAATATAACAATACTAATAGCCCTAATAAATCAATACAATAAYGGAATAATAGTAACTGTTTAAACAGGATTATTTTTTTTGTCGTTTGTTGTCTTTTTGTACAAACTTCATCATGTTCTCTTCATAGATGATGGACAAACACTCTTAACTTAGACTCTGATTGACTATTAACTAATCATTAATATTTTATAGGAAATATAGTAATAAAAACAATGTAGTGTTGAGTTATGGCGACGGTAAAACAAGACGCATGGAACGCGAACTAGAAATATTCCCCTCATACCATCACACTGTGAAAAAATAATGCCTCCTCTGATAAAACTAACCTTGAATATGCTTACATAGAGATTTAAGCTATCAGACCTTTTTCACTCTCGATTGCATGGTTAAAATACTACGTTGGACTTCCGAGCTCACAGCTTCATCCCGTGGTTGTGTTGTAGTTAGTACGTCACGCAATTGTCACGCATGGTCACACACAGCGTGCTCTTTTGTACATGGCGAATTTTTTAACTGTTGAAGGTTCAATATCAAGAATTGTATTGTTCTAGAGGTCGAGCGAGGCAGACTTAATGAAATGCTAATAGTAAACAGTGTGAAGGTTTTGGACTTTATTAAAAGAAATGTCAATCAAAAAGCTAGAATCTTCTTTCGGATATGAAAATCCAAAAACTTTGAAATTTAAAAATGTTGCTGCGGTTTTGTTTGTAATTGCTGTCTTCCTTGAAAACGACCATCGGTAACGCTGGAAACCACACTCAAATGCACTCGTTTTTCATCGTCCGACATTTAAATGGCTTTCTGGCATTCCAATGGCTTTCTATAAAGCATTCAAATGGCTTTCTGATCTTGATTAAAGATTCTTTTGTTAAGCRAYTGTRTTTTTTCTTTAGATAGATCTGCTGCTTTGMAATAATYATTTCAAAATGCTCGTGATTCTTGGTGTGTTTGAATTGTTTGGTAAATATGTTGGTCCGAGGTGTAAAATCAAAGTAAACAGACGTTTCTGTTACACCAGTCATAGCTCTAGCGACWTCATTGTTTTCTTTTGTTTCTTCGCAACAAAGTTGGCCTTCTTCCTGCTCTTCCTGTAGCACTATGTCGAAGTCACACTACTAACAAACTAACTTCAATTAACTTACAACTATACAAATATTATTAAACCAAAGAAAAATATCACCGAACCGTCGTGGATAATTCTAATCTCTAAATCGTTTTGAATCTCAAGAGTTCAGGTACTGGAATGTGTTCATAACTTACCGAACTTCGCGACAGTTCGTATAAACTCGATCGCCTCCTCAGCCCTTTCCGCCGTCCCGCAAAAAAGCGTGCTCCAAGACGATTGAAATTCATCGTCCACGGCTGCGGAACGCTTCTTGATCAGGAGTAATATACAATCGAATATTTAATCGATCAGTTATTCGATTCGATCACATGACTTGGTTGATTTCACCTCAAGGTTTGTTTTTTGTATTTCTCTGTAGGTGTGAATCCATAGTGAATACTCAGCCTACTACAAGCATATTATTATATGACTGTTGTGCTTGCTTAATGGAGCTTGAACAAAGTTTCGATAATGACAATTGGATTTCTGCACGCGTTCGATTGGAGTGGACAGAAGGTGTGTAACGTGAACCCTGGTTCGTCACACAATCTCTGATAAGGATGTGCCAGATCAGCTCAACATCAAATTGTAATCATTTTACCATGTTCATTTATTTGTTTTCTTTTTATTTCTTCTTTTCTATTCCTTTGTTTATTAATTATTTTTTCAAGATTCGTCACAAGCAGCACTAGTTTCCTTGATCTCCTTGAGCTACCTTGTCATATCTCAAGCACAGTCAGTGCAGAAACAAATCATCAACAATTGATAAGCATTTATAATCTAGTTAAAATAAATCATCCATTGCCCGAACCTCACGAAAAAGAAAACCTTCCGAAAACGAGGAAGTACCTAAAAAAGTAATCAAAGCAAGCTTTCTGATGTTCAGTTTCAATGAAAAATAAATGAAAATGAAAAAAACTAGATTATTGGACTCCATAAGAAGGGCTGTGGCGATGAGTTTGAAAGTAAAACAAACAATCTTAAAAACTTGTAAACCATCATTTTTGTTGATAATGTTATCGAGATAACAAGCAAGCAAAACGTATCTGCTCAGTTGTCACCGCAGTTGCCTCGATATTAAATCTATGATAACGATTGTATTAGTTAGCTGTATCTTGTATGTAGCTTGCTTCCTAAATTATGAAACGTCGAAGCACTTCATATGAAAACTAAGTAGGTTGTAAAAATTAATTTAAAAGCAAACCGCCGCGCCCTGTCTGCATGTTACACCCATAGTACGTTCACTATCAGGCTTTCCTCACCTTGTTATCTCAAAATCCCAAAATAGAAAAACTAAAACGATAACAAGCACAACCGGAASTAAACGACGCCTTCCGGAAGAAAAATTACCCAGAAACAGACATTTGACGTCATTATTTACGTCACTGTCGCCATTGGTGACTTGATATCTTGGTTAAATAGTTTTTTAATGGGATTAATTGTAGGGAGGGRYCRTGTTCGGTACATTCCAAGAAGGATTCCCGCAGAAAACTGCTAATGGAACTGTATTGTGTTGAATGCCGTGTTAAGTTCAGCGAAGTTTTTGTCTTATTTTATCTCGCCTTGCTCAAGTGTTGCAAACAATACTGACAAAACCTTCCTTGTTATAAGTACAGGTACGGCTGATCTTGAAGAGCAAGCTTTCTACACAAGGCATTTGCATGATTAAAAGTTTAAAATGGTCGCGCGCGCCTTTGTCCTGCGACATGATCAAGCTGGGAGGTAGAGAACACTCAAYAAACACTCTGTACATTCTAAGGGGATTAATTCCCGAAGAAAACTACTACCGGAAATATATATCGAGAACTTGAATATTGTGCGCAATTGAGTAAAGAATTTTGTCTATTTGGTCTACCGTTGCTCAAGTCCGGACAAAACCTGCCTACGTACAATGATTGCAGGTAAAGCCGATCCTGAAGGTCCCGATGTATAATTACTTAAGTTCAAAATGGCCGCGCGTGCCTCTGTCCTCTGTCCGCTGGGAGATTAAGAGTCCTCGAAATGCTAGAGAACTACGAGCTTATAGCGAGAAAGTTGTGATAAAAACTGCATGGCTTTTACCACAGGAAGTGCTGTGTTAATCGGTGAATTACTATATATGACTAGGGGTAGGGTGGGTAGACTATGGGTAGGTATAACACTCATTTGGCTAGGGGATGGTGAGTACAAGAAAAGACACCGAGTATCAATGAAACGAAGAACTATTTCAACTTAAACCTAGACTGTGCCAGTACTCGAAAAGCAGACGGTGAGAGGTTTTCTAAGTTATTGAGCCTAACCAGTACGTGGTAGCTTTTTAGCAAAGCGCAAAGCACAGCGACCTCCGTTAACTGTATACAACTACAATTACAACTACAATTAGGTGTAGAATAAAGTATGATCAGAAAGATCAGTGCCAAACTTACCACTGTTGATGATCGTCTGTCGGGCAAGGATTCCTGGGATCGCGAGATGATAAGATGGTCGGTACTAAGAACCCTACAAATATAAACACAGCTACTTCAATGATACTGTGCACAACCGTTCCCCACCCCTTCCCTCCGCGGGAACAAATCACAGGGAGCAGGGTGGGGAGCTGCTACTGAAGGCTACTTCGATGAATATGTTATTGTGKAAAATAGAACAGGAAACCCACAATACTAGAAACACGCGCTACGACTGTCAGTCACTGAGKCCTTGCGATAAGTATGTTGGATAACGAAGGAAACGTCTAGTTCACTGAAGTACAAAGCMGTAAACTCAAATGCAATAGTTAGTCGGCGAGCGCTTCAGATGGTCAGGAAATAGGAGTCGAGGGGGACGGGGGAATGCGCGCTAATAGAGACTGGAAATTCRAACGCTTTTAAGCATAAGTCTATAAGTTTATAGTTCGACAAGGCTTCGCTACTGTTCAGATGCTACAGAAGATACGATCAACGTTAAACTAGTGACATTCACATCGGCGTATCCGAATGCAACATTTGYGATGAAAGGTGAAATTACGCGCAAAGGAATACGGAAAATTTTAAAACGTACGTGCGTTTCGGACGTTCCTTCGGTGTTATAGAAAGCTAGAGGTCTCCATTTTGAAATAGTTCTAGTTTGACAATCTTGTACATGTTACATTAATTTGGTTTATGCATGCACCACATTTTTAAAATCCGCTGAATTCCGATAAGAATCCTTTAAACAGAGATTTGTAGTAAGTTAAAAAAAAAAAATACTTCAGGATGTTGATAAAGAGAGTGTTTAATTCAGTGGACTTACACGTCAAGGAAACGACGAAACATTGATCTAAAACTTCGGGATTATTAAAGACAAAGCCGTGCTTTCCATTACACCAAGGATAATTAACATGCTCTGCAGTGAGGCAAGAAAAACTCTKTTCAAATTCAACTCAAAACTGGTATGTCCGGAACGGAAAGGACTGGCGCTGTCAGTCTTTTTAAAACCAAATTTTTCAAGAAGGAGTTGACAAAACCACAATGTACAAAGGGTCCTCCAGAAGCAAAGAGCAAATAAATATGACCCATAAAGATTGTTTGCCGTTTTGTGTATTTTGAACTCAAACCATGCGCCATAAAAACAGACTGATTTTAATGGCTAAATAATGAAGAATTTATACCCATAAAACGTTTTTGATAATAGTCCAGATTTCATTGGTGGTAATTGTCAAAATATACAGCTTTATAAAGGAGTTCTTTTCAAACTTTTGTTGACGCGTTGAGTCCGGCATTGTGTAGTTGACTGTTTATTTTGGGACCTCTTTGAAATCATAAAGCCATCCAAGGGCAAAAGTACATAAATTTGATATCAATTATAACCACAGAAGCTCAAATGTTATTACTAWATAAAATTCTTACTATACGCAACTAAATGGAGATGAAAAAGGGCTTCGTTTGACAGAGATGCGTAATGATAATTTCAACTTTCCTTAACATTCTCGACTGAAAAGTCAGTTTTTGCTATTTAAAAGTTACTTAGTAACAAACCTAAGTAATTTTARATAATAAAATGTCATTGTTTCTAGTCAACTAGTAGATCTTTTCTCTAGTTAAGCAATGATTAGCTTTTGTTTTCTACACAATAAACTCGTTCAAGGAAGCAGTTAGCTTACCGCTCTCGGTCGTGACGATGGCTACGGCTTGAAGTCATGCTTGTGGCTCCAGTAACACTATTTTTTCATAACCTCAAGGCTCGTGTAAAAGAATTTAACTTATCAAAATCAAAAACCTCTCTTTCCATAACAGAATTATGTTGTCTYMYTTATGGAATAATTACAAACCTTCTGCGAAGCGAATATTATTGATCCCTCGGGGCCAATCAGAGCTGGTCATTAATCACTTAAGTACACGAAAATTTCTATTAGCATATTTCATAACATTCCATAAGTGCTCCTTTGCAGGACATAAGTCGTGATTTAAAGGACAATTGACAACAGATCAACTTGTCAGCGAGAATCGGACAATGTTAATTGAAACTGAAAGACGCCATTTTGTTTTTGATGGGCCTTCTTGTAGCGTGACTTCAGGACATGCCACTCATCATAACTTCCTCTAATATAATTTTAATAAACGTTTTGATGGTATGCTATTATTGAAAATATTAATATATATTAAAGTTATCCGTTATGCCCCCCACAGAGAGATTATCTCCTTCACTACGTCACTTGATTCCTCGACTATACCACAATCCTTTGCGAATCGCTTTCATCAGTCAAAATGAAATAATTTCTACTTAAAAACAAAAAAACAAAAACAAAAAAAAGCAATGAAAATCAGAGTAATGCAAGGGGATTTTTTCTAGGAATTAATATTGACAAAGGAGGAGGTATTAATTTTGAAAATTAGTAGCGAGTTTTTGCCTTTTGCCATATGCTCCAATAATATTCGAGCAAAACTACCGAAGGACATAATAACTACCGAAGCAAATAACTACCAAAGGACATTGAAAATTAGTAGCGAGTTTTTGCCTTTTGCCATATGCTCCAATAATATTCGAGCAAATAACTACCGAAGAACATGCTGGGATAGTTAAAGTATAAATGCCTTATAATACAAATAGTTCAATTTTTGACTTTTTCAAAAACAATTAGCGCTAAAATGATACAAACTTACCTGAATTCTGATGCATAGTCGACCTGCCCAGGTCGAGCAGGTTTCGTTGTATAGATGGAGTTAGATTTCGTTCGTCGTATTCCTTGTTTGACTTTCTTGTGAAAATCCTTGTGAGAAAACATGTTCGATAAGTACTAATACTTCAACACTCGAAGTTAAAATCCGTATCTCCGCGCGCCCATGTAATATCCTCTATATTTTATATAGATTTTAATATATTTTAACATTATATTTAAAAATATAATGAACTWAAAATATATGTAGTTTAAAAAATATATAAATTATCATAAACTAACCGCTAAGAGAGGACTACTATTCGCTCGGGGCCGTTCATCTGGTTCATCACAAATCAAAAATTGGCGTTTCATACTCGACAAATCACTGAATCTTCACATTGTTATGCGGTTTTCTCCGAATAAAGTGATCGCGAATCAGTCCGTTAAATATTTTCTTTTCTGGATACCTTTTCCAGGCAACTATTTCAGATTTTCAGATACAGTGTAGTCTCGATCAGCACTGACTGAGCGGTYAATCTTAACTGCCGTTTCACCGCGTCCTCATATATTTCGAAAACGATTTTCTGATTGTCCTCTTGCATACAATTAATAATTYTAATTAAAGTTTTAATTACATTTCCAATTCACGTAATTGGTGAGCGACAGGGTAAGCCTGTTTTTCCTTGTACTAACCATATTCTGTTAAACGATCAGTGGTGGCATCTTTCCCCAAGACAAGTAGAACGGTATTAGGGTATTTTTTTAAACCACCTGTCCTTTCTTTAAGGACATAAATAAATGTTTCCACAAGGTATTTTTAAAACAATTAGGTTATTTAGAGTATCCAAGGCCGAACCAACGCCTAAATGAGTGTTATCAATTGTATAGCGTTGTAATGTGTGAATGTAATTTCGTAATTAAAAAACTAACTGAAAATAACTAAATTAACTGATTAGTAGCTGACGTCATTAGCATCGTTGCCGCAGGTCCTGGGAACGAGGTTGAGTTACATTTTGAAATGTAACTGTACTACATTGATTGAAAAAATAAAAACAATTGTCATATAATTATCTATGAAATACCTATATTTCTCCATTTCGTAAAATTGTTATTCTCACTAGTGAAAATAACACATGCGAGGTTTCTCTATGTAGTGGAAGTAAGAAAAAAAGATATTTTACGCTATACGCTCAGTTGTAAGAGATCTTTTCAAAACTCAAAGATAAAATCCGTATCTCCGCGCACCCATGCAATATCCTCAATATATAACGGATAATAAAATAAATTCAAGATTTCATTGGAARACTGACGACCAAAGAATAGTTGGTATAAATAACATTCCAAAATCAGTTTTTAACGTGAAAGTTTACCCATCTGAACAATTTGGCTGCCCGTGTTGAAAATATGGAGAATTGAATGATATAAACTATGAACGAAAAAAGTGAAGAAATAAAAGGGAAAAGTTTTAATTTATCTGTAATCGTTGATAATGTTACACTTACCGTTATTTTGACGAGACTTTGGCTACGAGCTCGTCTTATCACTGGAGGTGACTTCGTTGGGTCTAAAATATATGTGTAAATGTAAAATAAAGAAAGCAATCTAGGAAGGAGATGTTCAAGAGAGAGAAGGGGAGGGCAGGGAGACAGAGGGATAAAATGTCAGGGGTGGGGTGAAGATTTGCTTTACAAAAGCCCCTTAAGAGGGCATGTAATTACTCGAAATGAAAATAATTTTGATCATGAAATGGCGCATCAATAGATCATCGGACTCTCTGATTACAATTGAGAAAATAAATCGAAAAAAAAGTAAATACATTTGAGGTGATTTTAGAGATACATCCGAACATTGACGAAAAGATTCCGAAGTATATCCGAGACATTGACGATGTTTGGCGTCTTTGGCCGTAAATGGTTAATCACAGACGTTACATCTGACAACACACGGGTAACATCGTAACATGGTAGTCTTAGGAACAAGTAACCACAAAAAATGTCTTTTTTTAAAAAAAATATTCCATGATTAGAATCATTAGGATTATGAGCGTCGCTATAAAAAARAAAGAAAGAAAATAAAATAAAAAACGATAACTATCAACAGCTTTCTTTCCTTTAATTTCAAAGTTTTGCTGTCACGCCAAACCGTATCAAATCACTAGACCATTGTTTAATAACGAAATGTTTTCGTGTCCGTCGCTGAAACGTTACGCATTTAATCTATTATGTTTATTTGTAAAAATAATCTTTTAAACTTTTGAAGACGTTTTAAGAGGAGCACTTGGTACGTTTATATGAACATTTTTTCACGTATTATTTTCAAGGCAGTGGACTAAGAACGTAATTCATGAACAAAACCGCGTCGTTTAAAAGACAAACTTAACTAGGGCAAGAGGGGCCTTCTCTTTTCAATGAAACACTTTAAGATTTAAACGATAAATTTACTAATATACATAAAAAATGCACTGGTTGGAAGAAGGATGAATGGCACTATCCATCGAGTAAATCCAAAGTTAATCCAGCTGATAAAAGTCATACAACATCAATAGATTGAATATCTTGTTGACGGAGCTTCTTCGCCTTTTCCCGCGTACTCTCAAAACATCAGTAAATGAGTTCCAGTCTTGTTTTGATGTGTACAATGTATTATTGACGTGACAGCTATTTTAAAATTAGGCCAGAGGCGTTTCAAAACGATCAGCGTTTTAATATAAAATTTTAAAGCTCTTGGCAAAGATCATGCWAARCTTGTCTGCGTTACAGAGACGCGGTCTTCTTGCGATGTTGCTCGTGAACAATAGACCAGCTTACCACAACAAACATCAGTGATTATAATCTTTTTTGACTTGTGTCTTGGAACAATAAACGAASTAAGTCGTGTTTATCTCCAATTCATTCGCTTTGATTCAAATTGATAATAATTCGTCTGTCCATTAGCAATGGGCTTTCATATTGAAAAAGTCGGCGAACTTTTTTGTGGTCACAACAGGATTGCTTGACTTCTTTCGAAGGAACACAAACAGCATGCTTTCAAAACACTTCAGTTGAACATCAAAGTTAAAATTCTGATGGAATGATATTTGATCTTTAACTCAAAGTATTTAAGAAGTCCAGGAATTGCCAGAGTAAATATAGTTTTGGAAAAAAAATATTTTTAATGCGAAAAAATCATCGTTTATKCCGTCAGCACGTAGAGTTGACTTTGAGCCTAAGTATTCATCTATGATGCGAGCAAAKCAAAGCAATAGATTTATAGAACATTATGTGAAAAACTGAGTATTTAAAAGTGATATTTATGTAATGTTACCTTCCATTAAAGCTTCCCAAGCTTGGCGTGGAACGGGTTTATACTCTGTAGGGCTACAAGGAGCTGTGCCAGCATGGTACCCCTGCAATATTATAAACAATATTGTTTAGAAAATAACTCAAACATAGTTAAGGTTGCTAAGTTATTTAGAAGTCATTCATTTACAATCCTCACTCCAGAGTATACCTCTTCGTCAATGAAGACTTTTAGAAGCTGTTGGTCCTGATGAAATACGCAAAATCTCTCCTTCCATTGAGCCTCTTTGATACATTCCTCTACAAAGACAAAACAAGTTCTCAAATAACTTTTAAAATACTGAGTGAGGTTTTATGATTCAMAAGACGAATAATTATCATGGGTCATGAAACCTTTGCATTCCAACCAGCCAACCAATTTGTCCGCCAGCATATTTCCACGTACTTGCAGAAGTCATTGAGAAGAGAAGTATCATGGCCTATATGCTTCAGTTAGAAACGTTTAAAGTCGTTGGACTGTCAATTGTTGCTAATTATGCAAAGGTGTTATGGCTGAAGGTGAACTATTGTGTTTTAAACCAATCGCAGAGCTTTCTATTGTGCCAAACGTGACAATTTCTGACATTCAGGCAGCCTTACTGAAGACAAAGTGAAACATCAAAAAGAAAAGAATAGACCTCGAGTCGTAAAGCGATAGATTCAAAAAATGCTTTCCCATCTAAAGTTGTGATATCTAATGATRGCACGAAGAATGAAATCAAATCTGCTGGCTAACTTCCTTGAAAGAACACCAAAATGCAAGAGTTTTGAGAAACRATTTCTTTCACAGGATATGACGCAGTTACCTTGTGTCCTATCGAGGTCAAAATGATTTGTCCTGTTCAAGCATGTAAAACAAAATAKTTTGTTTCATTGTTTTTTGTTCGTTTGTGAAATCGCACTCACTCCTTTTTCAGCTAGCCGTAAATGAACTATGTTAGTATAATAATATTAATGAGACCAAGAAATATGTGGGAAAAACTGGTTAGGGGAGAAGCATTTTTGGAGAACGGTGCTTCAATTCGAAAAAACCTAGTGGAAAAATATAAACGATTGAAAATTAATTCAACTCATATGTTTTTACCAAACCAATGATTAATTTGAAAGAATTTTACGTCTCTAACTGAAAAACTGAATTATTGATCGGTATTCGTGTGATATCGAAACCACCGCCCATGGAGGGTACGACACGGTATGCATATTAGAGTAAGCTGACACGCGAGGTTTCAGATATAAAACTCACGTATTTGGCACAGAGCAATTCACTTCATAAAAAAAAATTATATAAATACATTATGTTTATATTGGAAGAAAGATAAGCGATGAAGAGAACTGAAAAAACAGCATGACCAAAATAGCTAAACACGCAAACAAAAACAGAAACGATATGATTTCCTAATAAAAACAAAGAAAAATAACAATATTGGCAACAACGGAAGGATATCGTGATGTGCTTGGATTCARAAGAAGTCAGACAACGCGTTAGGTCTTTTCCGGTGTTGTATAATTGTAGATACACCCTCCTTTTTACATCCACTATTATTAAATTTATTTTAACTCCATCAATCTGWGTTTAGTCGCCCGTTTTTAGGCTATAAGTGATAAAAGTTTARRTTCAGTGGTAAATTTACGCTGTCAGTTCCCATGGCAGCCATAAACAAAGCATTTATTAAAGAGAGCTTCAAATCTACTGCTGAAAAACAKCTACTACTGGGAGAAACCTCAAAACGTTCGCTACTGGAACACACTCTGTCATTATACTTTCGACTGTCGCCTAGATTATAGTGCAATTAAGGCATTATGCGTCAATGGTCTGGGTTCTAGATATCTCCAATTTTTTTTTGTATCTCTAGTTCACTCACTGGCATTTAGTTAGCGCGAAATTACGTACTGGGATTGCATATAGAAGGGCACCGAGAGATCTGTAACTCCGACATGCAAGCGGATATGCCATCTCAGCTTCATAGAATATCTTTGGACTCGCCCAAAACGTTTCCGAATTTTTATTCAAGTAGGGTCATGTTTTCCTTTTATCAGTTTTTAACAGTTTGTCCTTTATTTTACATAAAATTGTTTTTATAATATATAAGACTGATTACCACTCATTTAGACTAGTATGGGAATGTTCTAGAACTGTTTCTTCTTGTTTGTAACATTCCAGTTCCCGTAGGAACGCCAAATACGTTCCACCCAGTCCCTAACGATCTTTGTGGTCCGTAGAGACTGTTGTACATCTGTGAGATAGAGTAATTTCCAGTGGACGTTAGGTAATTTGGGTTTACAGAACTGTTCGTTRATTCGTTTGAATTCACGTCCATTTGCGGCTTGACTTCAGTTGGTTGTTTTCTAGGAATGAACATAGGAAAAATTAATCAAGTAATTCAAGACGTGTTAGTCGAAAAAACGGACGAAAGAAAACGTCTGAAACGTTGGTACATGTTATTTTTTTGTATTTTCACAGCGTATAATTCACAATCTTATCATAATTCACCAATGTCATCTGTTTTTTTAAAGAAACATCGACAMAGCTCCGATGTTACACCGACGCATYTCCGATGTTACACCGAAAAAGCTCCRATCTATCTTTTTATCTCTTTTCCCTCACTTGTTTAAAGCAGGYTTTTGCCGTTGAAAYGACTCTGTCTGCAAAGGATTCCCAGCCGACGTCAGATGGAGATTTCTTTTCCGTCCTCCACTTGAAATTCTATCGAAGTTGTCCAAGTTACTCCTGGCCGAGTCTCTACTCGTCCGTATAACTGGTGCCGAGTTCTCTCTTGAGGGATTGTAGCGGCTGTAGGCCGTGGCGCGTGCTGCCAGACCTCGTTCGGCGTTAAACGCACTGTATGTTGCTGCTCCCCCTGCAAGGCTAAGAACATTGAAACTATGAATATCCGATGTTTCCGTCGTCTGCTGCAACGMGCACATTCTCCCACGCGGCTGCTTTAAGTCGCGCGCTATTTCGATTATAATCTCTACCTATTATCCAACACCCATCTTGTCCCACTTGGTCCAACCTGTGCCCGAGAAGCGGAGTGTCTCCCTGGTGGCCTGGATACAATAGGGGGAAGACTGATATCTTTATATGTCCGGTCGGTGCTAGTTGGAATTGCTGCGCTCGAGCTCAAGTAGGACGAACTTGTTTCCATTGGTTCAACCTCTATTGTGGTTTCATCTTGTTGTATTGATGATGGTTGGTTTAATGGTGATTGACAGTTCATTGCTTGCCGTTTGTTTATTAAGTGTTCATTATTTTCTGAAACAAAAGTTTGTTTGTCAATGTATTACTTTTATACACCCTTTTAATAAGTCCCGAGGTTTTGTATTCTCCGCACTTGACGTCAAATTTATTCTTTTGAAGTTTTTTACAATACAAAAGGAATTCAAAAGAATACATTTGACGTCAAGTGCGGAGAACACAAAACCTCGGGACTTATTAAAAGGGTGTATACTGCAACAATATTACCAACAGCAACAAAAACAACAGCAGCAGCATCAACAACAGCAGCAACAACAACAGCAGCAGCAACGGCAACAACAACAAAAACAACAGCAATAGCAACAACAAAAACAACAGCAGCAGCAACAAACAACTTCAGCAGCAACAACAACAACAGCAGCAGCAGTAACAACAAAAATAGCAGCAACAACAGCAACCTTTATGCTTAGAACATCACTGCAAGGAAGTGGCATTATTTCTTTATTGTAAAAGAGAGAAATGTGCTTGAAAAAACAATCTAACTGCTCATGTTATCATGCTTTTATTCATACCATTAGTTTGTCTCTTGTATGGATGTACAGGAGCTTGACCAGAGCTGGGGCTGCTGAAACGATGACCTCTCTTTGGAACTAGACCAACAGCTGTTAAAAGATATGCAAATGTAACTGCAGTTAGTAAGTAAATTCAATGTATTTAAGTCTGTAACTCAACACCTTGCTCCTTTAGCTTCATTTAGTGTGATAAAGWACAACAACAACAAAATAATAATAGTTATTAATACTATATAATTCTATCTGCTAAAAGTTAAGTTAAACATACATGTACCTTGTAAGTCATGGAAAAACCCTGCATATATTACAAAGTTGTTTACCTACAAAAACAGTAGTGAAAAAGTGAATGAATAAGAAGTCAAATGAAAACATGGATTGAATATTTAGATGAACGAATGAGCAACCAAATGTAAGAATGGATGTTTGAAAATATGAATGAAAAATGGGAAAGTACATAAACCAATGACAAAATGAAAGAGTGGGAAAATAAAATAACTGAATGTTCAAATGTCCAAGTTATTTAAGTGGCATGACAGAAAAAATTGTAATTATAAATGCCAATAGTCCAACTTCATGCTCCAGGAGCGCCTAGTTAAATGTATAGTATATTGATGGAGATGGTTGATGTCAGAGTRAGTAACTTACTTGAGGAATTGGTTTATCTAAGTGAAAATGCTTCYTCAAGAAGGACAGGAACTTGTGAGATGGCTTATCAATTGCTAACTGGTCCACATTGACACCTTCCATCTAGTAAACAAGAAGATTAGTTCAGCAGACCAACTTGAGTGAGAACCCAAAAATCACGACTTAAGTAAACTTATTTTCAGTGACCAAAAATTGCCATTTATGTATGGATGGGAGACGAAAAAGTAAGTAAAAAATCTTCTTGTTCAAATGAAAATTGCTTTTTACAATGTCTTTGCCACTGGATATTTGTGGACGCAGCCATAGAGGTCGATGATCATACCTTGAGCATGTGATCAAAAAGAGTCTTCCCACAGCCTGTTCTTTGTTTTGATTCATGGACATAGAAATCCAGGATGCACAGAGGGTTCACTTCATATTGAACACCCTGGAAATCCTGGAAAATCAAATATATCAATCAATGCTCCAAATTTTACATTATTAAAACAACAAAATACTAGTGTTTCTCCAGTTACAGTACCTGAACAAACAGCTTCTTGTGTCCAATTTTGATGATTCCTACAACTGCACCTAAACCACTGACAAAAACACAAAAGCATACAAAACTTAGACCCAAGCTAAACTACAGTAAATATTGTTGTAAGCTACCTTTGAAGTTTCTTGGTAAACCTATTGAAAAGATTTCTTTTAAAGGTTTTTATTTGGCTGGCATGAGCTGGGATGAGCTGGGATATAAGGGTTTTTTCAGACTGGCCTAAATTTGAAATAATTTTCCCAAATTTAAGCTCAAGCAGGGACAAACATGGGTCATAGAGATAAAGATACTTACTTGTTAGCATTAGGGTCCTTAGAAATGTAGAGTTTGTGATCTGAATGTAATAGTTTTATAGCACTAGTTATTGGAGTTTTCAGGTTCTGAGCCTAAAATAGAAACATGAGAATACTTTCAATTACAACACTAACAGGGACTGTGGAGTAATAATGGTTTGCTAGAACTCCACTTGCTACATGGTAATAATTTCGTTAACACTCAAGGCCGACCACATATTGTCATTGATATTAACCTTACTATCGTTCTTATGATTTCTATTACCTTAGTAGAGGCTTCTCCCATGAGGTCAATTATTTTCTTTAGATCTGCTTGCTTTGATGCAAGAGTTACCCTACATGTAAGTAAAGTTTGATTGCTCAATTATTCACGTACGAAATAAAAATAAAAAAAATTATGTAAAAAAATAATAAATAATAATTTGTCATTAAATGTACGAGATGGCAATTGATTAGCTGGTTATATTAGTAAGCAAGATAATATTCATTACAAATATCGAAAAGTTACCTATCAAATCGCTGTCTTCTAGCGAAAGGCAACAGCTTSTCATCCACAACAGAGATTGGATCAGGGAGAATATCATTGACGTTGAATTTGAATTCCATGATCAAATCGAGTAGCAACAACAGCAGATAGATATTTCACGTTCAGATTTTCAGCATTTCATTGTGTTTCTTAATTTTCAATGTAGTAAATACTGGAACTGTTCCAATTCTCTTTGCCAACGTGAACTATTAAGTTAAATGCTCAACTTCCAGACTTGAACGTTGATAGTAGAGACTTGAGAATTTCTCTCGTAAAATAACAAACTCAGTGCTGTTTCCACAAAATTAASCAGTTAGATGTATTGCTTAAAGCATCTTGAGTTAGTATAACCTCTTGAAGTAATGGATTTTTTGAAAGAACAGGGCTGATCATCGAAAGAAAACAAGAACACAGATACTTAGCAACTGAAAACAAATCGCCATTTTGAATCATCAYATGAGCCCGCGTTTCTGATCAGCTGTTATCTTCTTGAATTCAAAATGGYGGACGAAGRAGTTTRCAAGAAYTYTTCSWCAAAMTMTCTCTTTGTGCAGTCCCCTTTCTTAGATATAAAAGATAAAGCGTACAGARTGCTTCTAAATAAATATGGGACTCACTTGACKTACTCACCAACTGTATTATCAACGATTATCACGGAGGATTTTTCACAAGAATGTCAACAACAACGCGAATATGAAAACGTTATTTTTCAGGTTTGAATGTCTCATATTAACAAATTGGGTTATATTTTCAAAATACATTTTTTTTCTTGAGCTTTCCTTGTGTTTACTATGGTAAAATTTATTCAGTGTAAATGAATATGTCCATGTTTTATTACGGCGTATTTCATGTGTGTCRGATACATTTGCATCTACATCGTGTGTTGGACTGGCTATTATAAGCTTACATCGCATTTTTTATAGGTTGAAACAGAAAATGTGGACTCATTAATTGGAGCTGCAAGGATTCTTCAGGAAAAGAGGGCTTTTGCTCTGGAGATTATCCCACACTGTAATATGAGTTTGAAAGTTGACAAATGCTGTAATGGCCTTAGTCCAGAACATGACCCACTTTTTTCAGTAATTGTACATTTTAAAATTTTTGATATATAACGCGCGCTCTGATTGGCTGACGACCGTGTTTATATCAGAGGACAGAGACATGGCTTACCGGCAAAATTTTCTTTTCGCTCGAAAAATTTTATAAAAGAAATATAAAACGGCCGCTTGTGTCTCTGTCCTCTGATATAAACATTGTGGGAGTTGAAAAACACTCGAGAAGCCAGAGAAACACTCGCTACGCTCGTGTTCCTAAGCTTGCTTCTCTCGTGTTTTTCAACTCCCACCGTGTTTATATCAGAGGACAGAGACACGCGCGCCGTTTTATATTTCTTAAATATAAAACGAATAACGCACGCGTGCAGATCAAAGAATAGTAGCACGCGGATAGTGCAGGAGCGCGTGCTTTATATTTTGAACTTTAATATATATTAATATTATGATAATTGAGAAAAGAGGGTCCAGTTCTGGACTAWAATGGCCTAGACTATATTTCCATCAAATGACGTAATATTGCAAAATGTAAAGGCTACTTTTCAAGGAAGCACAGGGAGCTGCGAAAAACATATCAAATATATATGATACTCACTAGGTCTTTTTTGTCAYCTGCAGATGATTCATGGGAAAATTTACTTTATAATATAAGAGAAGTTATCAGCAAAGTCCAAATTTCAGTCTCCTGTAAAATATGTGTTGACCTGGTTGACACCTCCAAAGCAGTGAAGATGGCTGAAAAGCTTCATCGTGCTGGCTGTAAGGTATTGGGATCCAAAAAAATGACCAAGAGGGGGATCCCAGGGAGGAAATCCTTGTGAGCTATGATATGATATATAATAGAGATGGGGTGACCATTTGATGGTCAGTGTGTGTCTGGTATTTTTGTACTGTTTTTGAGTTTCTTTGAGTTTATTGTCATGTCATAATTTTAGCTGCTACTTTGTTTTTTTAACTCCATTAATTAAAAGATGGAACTAACATTGATCATATTGTTCCAATATAAAATGGAATGATTATGAAATTGAAGGCAAAATATGATAAAAGATGGTGATGATATATATTCATAATTTGTTGTTGTTGTTATTTTCACCAAATTTAGATTGTATTACTACATTGTCGCTCTGGAACAACTGCGTCAATTTTCCTGAGAAAGCACTGGGAAACTATCAAGAAAATCAGGTTTCTATCTCTTTATCTGATGTTTTTCTTAAATCTTCTTAGCTTCCTCTGCAAACAGCCATTTTGCTTCTATTGTTTGGGCTTCCTGTGTTGTATCAAATACTAGTGCACAGTAAGCCCAAAAAGTGAAACTACAACGAGTAAAAAAATATTCTCTTAAAGGTCAAATAATAATGTGCATAACTATTTTTTAAAATAAATTGCTTATGTAAAATTACGATTATAGGGACTCTATATCARTAGAAACTGTTTTGGTAGAAATTCAGTGCTCTTCTGTAAAAGAGGCCCAAGATTGCATTAATTTTACAGGAGTCCAAGGTGTTGCTGTTGCAGGTACAACATCCACTATTTTCACACTCACCAAACGTTGCAACTTGCAACCATTATACTGTTGGGATCCCTGTGCACCCTCTTAGCCCTGTGGAGAAGTACTGAGTTTTAATAACTGCAAGTAATGCTATTATTTTGTTATTTGTTAATAATGTATTATTTCCACCCTATAGATCCATTGTTGTGGAACCCATCCTTTTTTCATGGCAAGAGAATATCAACAGTTGACATGATCAAAGACTWTGTCAACCTCGGCAAAGACTGTCATTCACAGCTCACAATAGTTAAAGAAAACCTGGACAAATTCAGTGGATATTTGTAAGTCAAATAGTTCCCCTTTTCACACATTTTTCCTTCATGTCTAGTTTTCCATCTTCATTCAAAAACTAGTCTAGAGAGTGTTRTGACCCAAACCATGCTAAGGGTCAGTGCTTACAAAGTATACAGATCCAAGCGTTTGTTGACCATAGTTACTAGAACAAACTATCCTTTTCAAATAAACTACAGTACTATATATTTCCTTCCTCCTTCACTTCTTCCCTCCATCCCTCCATCCCTTCCTTCTTCCATTCCCTTCCCTCCCTCCCTCATTCCTTCATCTCTGCCTGCCTGCCTGCCTCAAGGATATCATTGTTGAAACATTWCTTAATCCATTTTTGTTCAAGTTTAAAAAGATTCCCAAGTGTAAAAGAAAGCATTGAGGTTGCAACAACATTTGACAATATCTTGKCAGCAATAGATTCTTTGAATCAAGAAATTGCTCAACTTTCTGTAAGTTTGTGACATTCACTTCCTGCATTTTTGTTGTAAACGTGCAATTTCCAATTCAACCATTAATAACATATTAACTTGTGCGATTTTGAACATTGTTCTCTTAGAAAAAGAAATTAAAAGGATTTGAAAAGCTACAGCAAAAGAAGGTAGATTATTGTTATTAGTTTAAAGTTTGTTTAATATTTGTCCAAAGTATTTTTTGTTTTATTTTAAAAYAGGAGAGACATCGGATAAACAAGCTGAAAAGAAAAAGATTAAATCAAGAAGCTTTAACTGACAATCAAGGTAAATGTCACCATGCAAATGTTTTGGAAGTAATTGTTTGAGATCCAATTATTTTAATTCTAAATTTCTACATCTCTCTTATTAGGTGACAGCTTTTGTTCACCTCAAGAAGACTTCCAGTCAAAGAGAGACATTAAAGAAGATCGAAGACACAGAGTTCTTGCCGCATTGGAGTCAGGGCAAAGGGTTGCTATAGACCTRAGTCTTGAAGAACATATGTCTGATAAAGTAAGTGAAAGTTTATTTGTTCAAAAAATTCCAAAATATGTGAATAATTTAATGTATAGTTGATAAAATGAATAAATGGATTGATAAGTAATGGATTTATGGACAAGAATTGGTAAATGAATGCATAAATGAATGAAAAATACATAAGTGAATGAGAAAATAATAAAAGAATGGAAGAATGGACGTCAACCTCATTCCCAGGCCTTTTTCCTACAAACAAAGAGAAAAGGAACTGGGAGAAAAGCGTAAATTTCAGGAGCAAAAAATGACAGATGCATAATTGAAAGAATGAGCAGATAGTAGCTACCACTCTGATTAAATAAATAAATAAACTAATAGATTTAAACATTTCATTCGTACAGGAAATCACAAAAGTAGCAGGGCAAGTCAGACGTTTGTATGGTTCTAACTTACGTGCTTCACAACCATTTCATCTTTACTTCACTGGTCTTGATAAGAACAATAAAATCCTACAAGAATGTCGACGCCAAAATAATGGATTTGATAATTATCTGGTTAGAAATCGTTGTATTTTCTCCCCTACAGAATGAACTTTCTTTTTGGAGTATAAAAACCATTATATCTGATATAGATTAAAATTCTTGTTAACAAAGAATTTTTCTCTTGTTCATGCTGAAGTTATCATCTTGTATAGCTAACTTTGCATTTCTTTTTTATCAATTCCAAGGTCGACAGAAGAGAAGAACACGTAAAAGAACTTTTCGATTCAGATTCCGTGGTATACCTTAGTCCAGATTCACCAAATAGTAAGGAAATAATGAGTAATCTTAGATATGCAAAGAACTATAGAAGTACAGACTTACATTATTGAGGAATTCCTCAAAATGCTTCACCGTATTTCGTTTTAGAGGAACGAGTTATAATTTTGAAAGTCGATCCTGGATGATTTGTGGAAAGGAGACTTTTTTACGCAGGCTTTGTTCTGGTCAAATGTCGGTCAAATGTCTTGTAATGCGCGAGTTGACAAAAACATGCTTTTAAGACATCAAACTGGTTTTCTCTAGTAGGCTGTCTGCGGGCTTACTTTGCGTTTTGCGGGCTTTCTTGAGATAAATCAAAACTTTTTCAAGTAGAAATTGAGGAATTCCTCGTAATATTTCCCCGAATTTCGTCTCTCTAGAGAACCGAGGTTTTATTTTGTTTGTATGTGATATAGGTTCCTGATGTAATTGACTATTTTTTCTTGCAATTTAGTTTTAAACAAATTAGATAAAAATAATGTTTACGTCATTGGAGGATTGGTTGATCATCAAGTTTTAAAGGTACTGTGTTGAGCTGACAGGTCGATTTGAGAGCCGTTCTTCCTCAAATGACCACTGGAATATTTCATTTTCAGGGAGTTTCACTCACTAATTCTGATAAATCACACATCAACACTGCACGGCTACCAGTAGACGAGCACATGGAGGCTACTACGCGTTCTGGAAACCATAGTTATTCCAGAGTATTGGCAATAAATCAGGGTGAGTACTGTAAATTATTACAGCCGTATCAGGAAATGTTCAGACATTTTTGATTTGTCGTCTTTCTCTCCATGTTCGATCAGGATCAACTAAACTTGATTCTCGCCGCAAAATCCTCACACAGAGTCTGGAATCCGGAATAGAATGCGCGTCAATGGAAACGGTTCTTTCATTTATTCATCCATTTTTGTATTTTGCAGTGTTTGATATTCTCCTGAAGTATCACGAAACACAAGACTGGCGTGAAGCTCTTTTGGTTGGTGTACCCAAACGAAAAGGTTTTATACCTAGGATAGCACAAGCTACAACGAAACAAGCGCAATGACGAAACACTATAATTTTATATMTTTATTCACAAAACTGTTCTACAAGCGAGGGATAGTTTGACTTTTCTGTTCAAATAATATAACGACTTGATTGTGTTCTTTATCTCTTTCAAATATGTTGCCATTCACGAGATTGTATTTCACGAAACTGAACTAAAATTATAAAATGAAGAATTTTTTTTTCTGTTCAAATACTATCTTGATATTGGGAAAGAGAGTGTTCTGTATGTTGTCCATTCTCCGCTAACACAATGTTTTAAATAGGTTCATTATTGGGTGCGAAGGATTTACTTTAAATCTAAGCATTTTCCATGCTAATGTCACGACRGGAGGAGAAGTATAGTAATTTTTATCAGTATCCGCCTCTCCCTCCWCGAAAACCTCCTCGAAATCCACCGCCACCTCTTCCTCCGAATCCTCCTCCTCCGAAWCCGCCGCCTCCTCGTCCWCCACCGAATCCGCCCCCTCTACCACGAAAGCCTCCACCACCACGGTAATGACGAGGACCTTGGTACCCTCGCTTTTGTGGGACAAAACCACGGGACCCTCTTCCGAAGCCCCTGTAAAATATAGACTCGCTGTAAATCAGATCATGACAAATGACATCATAAAGGAGGACGCAAAATTGTGAAAGTTTGAATAATTTAATTTTAACTGTACGAGGGATCTTCCTCAAATTCATGAAAATGCACGAGTCCACAAAGAAGCACACGTGAACTTACCCCCCTCTTCCTCGATGCCCCTGGAACTGTGGAGGTTGTGGCGGATACCCTGGATTTCCTTGTATAAACTTTCCAGCATTGCTTCTCGAAAGAGCTTTGATTATGTTAATCACGCGCTCGTCGGCGTGCGACGGTTCGGCGATAGAGGTCGGGTTKGTCGCCGCCTGGATCAATAATACATCGATTGCTTGTCGTAACGCAACGATCATGGCTGCTTGGTTGTAGGGCATGCGTAGACGAATCCTGTTTAATAAATCAAAAGACAGATGTTATCACCATTTTCTCGTAGGCTTTGAATTGGGTAATATCCTACATAACAAGCTTTTAGTCAATACCCATTCGAGAATGAAAAATACATCGAAACACTGCCGAAAGGATTCCGAAGTATATCAGAAGCATATCCGACAATGTAGTTCCCCGTCTTAAGAGGGGATTGGCCACAAAAACCGAAAAAAGAGCTTAACGAGGTTAAACATTCAAAAACGTCAAAAAAAGTTCTCACCAGTCATCGATCCGGATCATTCCTTTATCTGCACTAACTTTACTTGTGCTGAACAAGAGCAACTGTAGAGGATTCACCATCGTCATCTGTTTACAAGAAACCGCACGGGTTCGAATCTTCTCTCCGAACACAAAGAAAGGCGAAGGAAAGATGTATTCCCTGTTRGTGCAATTGACTGACGACTTGTGTACAAGAGCTGCCTTTCCTTCTGTGGTAACTACTTTTCGCTTTTCGCGATGCATGCAGACGTTGGGGTAAAGACCAAGACAAAGTAGTGCCACAACCTTTTGATTCAAGAAAGACAATAATTTAAATAAGCATAACTATAGAAGCTACTGAGAAATCTTTAGTTTGGTGTTCGCCAATATGGCAGCTGTGACCTCTTGGGAAAACCAAGACGGTTTCCATTTTCATCGAATGAATACAGTTGTGAAGGTTAACTTATGGAAAGCGTATCGTTACAGTACAAGCTAGTGTTTGAGGGATTTCAATGAAATGCGCTTCGCGACATTATTCCACCGTTCCTTTGGTGTACCGCGTGGCGCTTAAAACAGCTAAGACGAAACTTGGTACGAATTGTCATTCTAATTGCCGGCAGCACTTACCATGTCGAGTTTGGAGTCAGGACCACTATAGTTGAACGGTTCAGGATGCATACAATCTACAAACAGATAAACAGTTAAAATACAACCCGACCTGGGACCAACGATATTGAGAACATACCTTCTGGATAATTGGCATCGCACAAGAGATTCTTTAACTGCATCTAAAGAAAAAATTACATAACGCCGCTGAAAATGGAAATTATTGTTTTGTAGTGTTGTGTTATTCAGATYATTTATTTGAAATACCTTCGCTTCAGATGTCATTCGTAATGTCGACATGTTAAGCTGATGACTGTCACAGAAACTCCTTTCGGATGATTCATCTTCATCGTCTACAGATCTGCAAAAGAAATATTGCTTTATAGGGTACTTCGAAATGTTTCTTGGTGATTGTATAGGTGACGTTTAAATCCAACATATTAAATGAAATCCCAGTCGAGCGACGTAAATCATAAGACGGGAGAACCTTCGTCGCCTCTCATATTTGAAATTTTCGGTCCTTTCTGCTTTTACAATTTCGTTTTAATTTTCATTATTACTTTCTTTCTTTCTCCCCTAAATCCCCTTTATTACGCATCCCAATACTTTTCCTTTCCATTTTTTCTTTCTTTTTCTTTCATTTACTAATTTAATTTCTTTTCCTCATTGATCATTTTATGAATCTATTTTRTCAATTTTTTCCTCCCATCCTACACAAAGCATGTCTTACCTTGCATCCTCCCAGGAYTGGTAAGCACTCAACATGGCAATATGATCRCTATGCCGAGTACCAGAGAACTTCTTATGAACCCAGCCCAGTCTCCGACGGTCAGACGGCGTCTCAAAAGGCTCTGGGAAACTGGTACTAGCGGCAATGGTACAAGTGGCATCACCACACCTGATCACAAAATAAAAACAAGTCACGTGTTTTGGATTAGCCAATAGAAACGGTCATATCGGGTATTCCTGGATGTAAACTAACAAAACAAACAAACAAAAAACATGGCTGCATAATTGGTCAAGCAATTTATTTGAAAAAGTTTTAAATTTCATATATATTTTTTTCAATGTGTTGACTTTGAATCAATTCATAAATATAGTCTACCCAATTTTTCTGCTCTTTTGAAAACAAACCAAATTCACCCCAAAATGTGGCGATTAAAAGTGCTACGTAACTAGATAATTACTCACTGAAAGATGCAACCAAGAATGACCATCTTTCCMAGCCGTGGTTCAATAGGGAGCTTAGCAAGCATGTATCCAAGGGGTGTCAAGTTTTGATTGCTATCGAGTGCTTCCATATCTGAGTATAAGACAAGAGAAACACTAAGAATTACACAAAAAACCTTTCTGCCCAAGTTTCAATTATGTTACTATCTTCAACATGACAACATTTTCTCAAACAGACGAATAAAACTAACTTCACGGCGAACAGTTATATAATGAGCAGGGAAAAAAAGAAACGAGTAACAATCAATTTATAAGCCCAACAAGATGGAATTCAGCAAAGAAACAAGTAAGTCAAGTAAGCATGAAGTCCCACCTTTTAATATTGCCACAGACTCTACCACGGCATCCAAAGGAGGTGGCTCAATRGCGTTGTTAAGGAACTCTTTGATGTCACCCAACTTAAGCAACTTAATTGACAATGCCAACTCATGYAGAGGCGTTCGAAGGATTTCAGGTGTAGCATGTTCAGCGAGTCTCTCAGATCTTGTCCTGCTGCACAAATGGAAGGCAAAGCCAGGTCTTACACGACCTGCACGACCTCGTCGCTGTTCCATGTTTGTTYGAGATGCCCAGACCGTTGCGTAGTTGGTCATGTTGTTGTGTGAGGTGAAGAGCTTCACTTTGGCTCTAGACACAAAATGGTGGAGACAGCTCCATTTGTAAGTGTGTAAAATAAACTCTTTTCATGTGTAAGAGAAGCAAAGGAAGAATAGGATGGAAAAAGGTATAAAAATCATAAAAAGGAGAAGAGAAGAAGAAGAAACTATCCTCTCTAAAGCCAGAAAAGCAAGAGCTTTCTGGAAGCAGGAAGCCTGGAATAAAACAAATATGAAAGCAAGGTAAGACAATCGAAAACGATTTTTCTCTTACTTGACTGAATCAATGACAAAGACGACATCGTCTATAGTGATACTAGTTTCAGCAATGTTAGTAGAAAGAATAATCTGCAGAAAAAAAAAGATATTAGTGTTCACACTACATCGCGAATTGCTTTTTGCAATTATCTAGTGCTTATYATTACCTTTGTTACTCCTTCCGGAACAGGTTCAAAGACTCTTCGTTGATCTTCTCTTGGTATTTGTGAATGTAAAGGAAGTAAGCGATACTGAGGACTCCCTGGAAACAATGACAAAATTATGAAAAAAATCAATTGTTTGGTCAGCTCTTTTATTACACTACACCACTGAGTGTTGACTAGTTCTGACATACTAAAGTCTAACAAAAACAGGACAGATCCAGGTGGTGCAAAGGTTACACAAGCTACTTCAGCTCGATAAACAACTTACGGTAATCTAAGAATTACCCAAACACTAACTGAATGATACCTCTATAAGACTTACCAAATATTCTATGCATCTTTAGRTGCTTATGTAAAGCAAAGATTAAGTTCCACCCTGGTAAGAAGATAAGGACCGCACCGGGAACACCAAGATTACTGATGTAATCAAGAAGAGCCTAAAACAGACACAAAGCAATGTCGGTATGTATATTAAAGGAACTATATGAGCAAAAAAAAACGGATTGGACATCTTCTGGGATGTATGGTAAGCATACAGGCAGGACTGTTAGCATGGATACTGGCATGACTTTTAGCGTGGATACTGGCAGGACAAATGATATTGGTAGCTGTTGTCATAAAAAAGGTCTTTCTGCTCACCTCAATCAATTCAAATGACATTTCTCTCTCACTTAGYTGCGCCATGGAGTTTTTGGTTTGAAAGGAATACTGATCACTGCAAATGTTATTACAATTTTCCTAAAAATAATGAAATGAGAACAATATGAAATACAATGGCACACGAACTAAATAGAAAGCAACAAACATTTATGGCAACAAGAAATGACTTAATACCTCTTCGTCATCAACATCCTCATCTCTCTTTTTCTTCTTTTCTGGGATTGGTGGTACAAACCCTAGCATTTGAATCACATCCTCCAGATAATACTCTGATGAAAGAATAAGATATCAAGCAACTACTTTTCCTAATATAAGGTGTTTGTTCTCAGTACTTTTTACTATAAAGTTTATAATGACAAGACTCAACGTTTCGGTGGCATCAGTCACCATTTTCAAGAGTCAAGTAATTGTAAGATATAACTAATTAATTTCAAGTAAGTCACAGTTTTTCCATCGATGTCGCAGCACTAAAGTATTTCTCCTTAGTGTCCATCACTTATACCACTGATATGGCCACCATATTTTACCCTTTGAATCTGAAAGGAATGATTAAATACCAACAATGGAGSCTCACCTTGAACAGGGAAAGATCGTCCTTCAATCTCAATTATTGGACAATTACCAAAGTATTCACAAAACATTTGTGTGTCAATCGTGGCAGACATGAGAATGATCCGCAGATTGGGGTATGTTTGGACCATTCTTTGTAGTACAACAAGAATGAAGTCAGTCTGTAATGAAAAACAAATTCTACGTATAACAATGTTGTGGTCAATAACATACAAATTTCATATAAGTATTTATAGGGTGTACAAGTTTTTGTGAATGCTCGTTTCCCACCCCTCCCTCTTAATGGAAAACTTAGTATTTGTATCCACAGGGGAAGGGGAAGGCAACAGCAATACACATTTAATGGATAAATTGCATGCACTCTATTGGCTATACATGTACAATGAGCACAAACAGACCAYATAAAAGACAAACAGACAAACACAGAGAGAAACAACAATAAAAATAAATGCCTAAATCAAAACTGTACTCACATTAATGTCTCTCTCGTGAATCTCATCAACAACTACATGGGACACACCATGAAGACCATTTTCAAGTTTTCTTAGCAAAACACCTGAAAGAGTACATACGAAATGCTGGACTAAGCTGGTCATCATTTGAGAATGTGTACATATGAAAGAACAGGTTTCTCCCAGTACAATCTCAACATCAAGAAGAACAATATTGATCTTACCAACAGTGCAAAACAAGACTGATGCATGACTACGAGGAAGCACTGAGTCGAACCGCACTGAATAACCAACACTTGTACCAATGGGCTCATTACGTTCAACTGCCACTCGCTCACCAACACTTACAGCACTGATTCGTCTCGGCTGGTTAAAAAAACAACAACACATTTATCAACATTTCTCACTGCCATACTTGTCAACAACGTTTTATAAAATAGCTACATATATGTATCAAAGACTATAGGTTGTTTTAAACTGGTTGTTGGTTTACCTGTGTTACAACTACACAGCAATCTGCACCTCTACCATTAGCAAGATACTCATCTAAAATGAACTGAGGAACCTGGATAGTGGACAAACACAATTGAAGGAATCAATACCTAATCTTACTATGAACGTGATTGGATATCATTCTTGTACCGAGATCCTTCTCAGTTCTCTCAAAGTCTCAGGAGTCTTTGATTTGAATGGTTCAAAAATTCCCATGCATCGTCAGTTTACATATATTGTCAACCCAGTTTCTGGGACTTMCAGTAAYGTCTCCATCCAKAGCCTTCGATTTTCTGTTGCAAAACTGAGACTGTTACCCTTCACAAGTTTGTAAGGTYTCTTGTGATTGGAGGAATAAAACAATGCTCATTGTTTCCTCATTCTTAAATCTTATTGATAGCTAGTAAACCAATCAGATAAGATCTTGCAAAACYGTGAWGGGCTGCCCAACTGAGAAGAATCTGGRTATGGAATGGRTTKGWTATGTTCAATATTTAACAGWCCAAARTCAATATTTTTCCAAAARTTGTTYACTGTAAARTACCTGTGTTGTTTTACCACAGCCAGTGGCTCCTTTTATAATAATAACTCTGTTCTCATTTATAGCTCTTAGTATGRTGTCTTTGTAGTTGAATACAGGAAGGGAACTACGCTGATCAAGAAGACTCATGTATGTTTGATCAGATCGACATTTGTGCAAGAACTCTTCTTGGTAATCTTTACTTGTAGGGATGGGTTCCTACAGCAGAATT